ACTAGGGGTAAGGAGGGAAAGAGGGGGTTTGCCTAAACTAATGAAGATTGATCACTGAAGTCTACATAGTTTGATTTGGGGCTTCCATATGGTTGGAGTTCCAGTTCCTATATCCCAGTTCTTTTTGAACTCTGCCTAGCACAGAAGTCCTTTAGTATCTAAGACCAATAGACCTGAGTTAGAGATGAAAGTTCCTTGAGGAAGAGGTGGAGGATTAGTAGTAAGTAGGAAGGGAGAGACACCATGTGTTTTACTTACTGGCAACGCAGTGGATACAGTTTTTGGGATCTGATTGGACACTTTCCATGGGAATCTTTATAACTGAGGGAGGAGGGAACTGGGGCTGGAGAGAAACAGTGGAAAAAGCTGATAAATACCACCAATACAACAGTGTTGGCTTTCTTGCCAAGATGGAAAATACATGTGTCCACAGTGTGCAAACCACCATCCTCTTCATATCCGGACTAGACAGTGGGTGCTGCAATTACCCTGGGGCCCACTGAGGACACTAGAAAGGACAGAACTCTTGCAGGAATGTTACTCATCAGAACAGTTTCAACTGTCGTGGTAACCAGTCACTTGGGAGTGAACCTCACACAATAGCTGAAGACGTGTATAAAATGAATTTATGTAAATTGAATCCCGTTTTTCCATCGAATATATCATATAAACCAGAGATGCTTTTTCCCACCCCTGAAATAGTTCCTGGCATGTGGTATCCACTCAAATATTTATTGAATGAATCAGTGAAAGAATAATACTTGTCTTTAAAAGGCACTTAGACTCTCAGTTTCTTTGTTCTCAGAACCTAACTTTGCAAATCATCTAAGTCATCAACAAGGGGGAGTTCCCTGGTGGCCTTATGGTTAGGATTCTGGGCTTTCACTGCTGTGGCCCGGGTTCAATTCCCTGGTCAGGGAACTGAGATCCTGCAAGCTGTGCAGCACGGCCAAAAAAAATCATCAATGAAAAACATGTGAATGGGGATTATGGGCCTCTTACGTTCTGGGAAGAGGACAGTAATTAAGGGCCAGGGGAATTTTGGCCTATCACTACCATCAGAAGATGGTTTAATCGTCACCAGTCAGTCAGCAAGGGCTTGCCTATGAGCAGCTTTGATCTGCAAAAGGAAAGATTGCTAGAACAGTTCACGGTGGAGGCAGGGATGTGGGTTTGGGTCAAATTGGGAGAATGGGAGCCAAGCATGGTGTTAGGAAGGACATGGGCAGCTTAGTATGTTGGAAATGATCAGATTCAAAGTCGTAATGGTTTTCTTAGTTCCCTCCTAGACATTTAGCCTATACATCCATCTTGGGTGAGTCACTTCCCTTTTGGGGGCCAGTTTCATCATCTGTAATGAACACTTGAACTAGACAGTCCTTTTCACTAACATTTTATGATTTACTATAAGTTCTGGACTGGCTTCTTGTCTGTTGACTCCCTGAGTGTTTTGGGGTGAGGTGGGGAGGAAGCATGGGAGAAGAGAGGAGCAGATGGGACAACTGAGACTGAGTGGTCCCAGGCATCTGGGGAATGTAGTCACCCTCCTTTCAGGAGGCCACGAGCGTCTTCCCCCACCTCTCTGCCCAGGACCCTATGGACAGGCCCAAGCAAGGCTTGTCCCCCGTCCTCCCACTTGCCCAGGAGTCCAGTCTACTAATGAGTCCCTATTAGACCCCTCCCCCTGGACCTGCTCTGTTCTTTGGAGGTCAGTCCTCATAACCTCCTCCATGACGGAGCCGAGTCTTCTGCCCTGTCCCCTCAGGGACCTACACTGCTGTTGTAATGGCCCCAAGAGCCCACAGGAATGGGGGAAAATAGGCATGGCCAACTGACTTTTTCCTGGACGAGAGGGCTCTTCACTCTGGCCTACGCTGAGGGTATTCACTTGAATAGACGCGATCTCAGCACACCAGACTGACACGGGGCCCAGGCAATCGCACCTGGCTACCTGAGAAGCCTCCCCACCCTCTCCATGGCAGAGGTGGAGGGAGGGTCTCTTGATCCCTCCCATCAGCCCAGGCCTCACATCCTCCCCACCTCCTCGTCACTGTGCTCATGGGCCCCTTTCCTTTTCTTCTTATCTGCCTCCTTTTTCTCCTTCTCTGGAAGGATGTTGTCAATCCAGGCCAGATCATGCTGGGAGAAGATGAGGTCCAGAAGCCTTCGAACGATGATGAGGCCCAGGATCTGTGGTGAGAGTTCAGAGAAAACCATGGGCTCAAGGCCCTGAACTTGGGCACAATTCATTTTCTCCCTCGGTCATCTATGTTCAGGGACTTTTTCTGGTATCTTTGGAACATTCTCAAAGCTCCCCCAAACCATTGTTCACCTCCCACCCATCTTGGTTCCTCTCATCCAGCCTCTCCTCAGTTGAGTGGCGATGCCTACCAGTGACCAAGAGGCACAGAGCCTGTGACAGCTGTCGGGGGTATAGTCAGATGGGGACCGTGGGTGGAGAACTACAGTTATTCTTTAAATTAGTGGTTCTCAGACTTGAGCTTAGATCAAATCACCTGGCAGGCTGTTAATACCCACACTGCTAGGTGCTGGGAGAGTTTCTGACTCGGAAGGCCTGGGGTGGGGCCTGAGATTTGCATCTCTAACAAGATTGCCAGGATATGTTGATGCCGCTGATTCAGGGATTACACTTTGAGACCGACTCTCCCCATGCCCCCATTTCTGAGAGCTGCCAATCTCTTTGCTAACAAACTGAATAAAGTATACTGGCATATCTAGAATTTTTAAAGGAAAGTCTAGAAAGTTTGGTTCTGTTCAGGATAAACAAAGGCAAAACATGTGCTCTTTGGAAAAGATTAAACACTGACTTTTAATAGACGCAATGGGTCCAAGTAGCTAGTTATGAATATTGTCCTTTCACCACCAAGATCTAGCCATTAGATGAGGTCAGGGAGAAAACCATCCAGCGGGATTTAACACTGGGTCCTCACTGACCCTGTGTCTTGGAAGCAAGCAGAGCTCGGGAGTTGGTCAGACCTGGTTTTTTAAATTCCTGGCTCTGAAAACAGAGCATGGTTGCTAGGGGCAGGGGTAGGAAGAAGGGCTGTCTACATAGGGACAACACAGAGTTTTAGAGGTGATGGAACTGTTCTGTATCATGACTGGTGGCGGAATCGCTACTCTGTGTTTTTTCAAAACTCATAGAACAGCAGAGTCAATTTTACTGCATGTAAATTTAAAAATATCAATATGGGGTCCTTCCTGGTTGTGTGACTTGAGTCACTCACACATGCTCTCTGAGCCTCAGTTTTCCAGTCTGTAAAATGGTAGTTCTTTAGGGAAGGTGTGGACTAAATGAAATAGCACTCAGTACATGCCAATTGTGACGATCCTTTCCCCTCCTCACCTCTGAAACCCATGAGGGCACTGTTGGGGAGGATCCATTTCACTTTCCCTGGAGTGGTGGTTTTCAACCTTGGCTGAACATTTATGCTTACCTGTAGACTTACTATAAATACCAATGCCTGGGTTTCTCTAAGAGGTTCTGAGTTCATTGATTTGGGCTGAGGCCTGGGTGCATGTGCTTTTAAAAAGCTCCCAAGTGACTCTTATGAGCAGCCAGGGTCAAGAATCACTGACTCAGAACCCTGCCAGGATATTTCAAATCCTACTCTGTGTCCTCACTTTGGTCCCTAATCCAGCCCTGCAGGCTTTAGGGACCACCTAGGGCTTCCCCCAAGCATTAGCCCACAGTCCCCCCTCCCATTCCCCATGCCCCAGCAGGGGCAGAGGCCACTGCCCTCCATGGGCGATCTAGGTGCCAGATGCAACATGTTGTTGGCTTTTCTTCTTTTCACTTTTAATTTTGGAATAATTTCAAACTTACACACAATTTCAAGAATAGTCAAAGAATGCTCACATACTTGCCCCAGCTTCTCCAAACAATGACATGTTAATGACATTGGACTCTGAAGTTCTAAATCTCTATTTCTAGCTCTCCCCATCCCATCCCCCCATTTATCTTTTCAAATTCAGTTATATTGAAGGGTGAAGAATTATATTTAGTGTAGATGTACTTCCGCACTTGGTTTGAATTTTGGCAGTGGGGAACTCAGTCTCCTTGTTGAATTTGCCCAGCTTCTCCATCGCACCCCAGAGTTGGGAAAGTTGGTTGGCTTTTGCATTCTCACTGAAACGCCCTGACCTGAGCTGGGTGGAGGCGGGCGTGTGGGCTGTCACTACAGCATCCACCCACCACATATAACTTCCCTCCCCCTCTCTCCTCTCCATTCCACCGCCCCCCCCGCCCCCCAGCTCTACATGGCCTGGAGTCACAGCCCGAATCTTGATCTGTGCCTGCCTTTGTGACCCCGAGAGAATCAGGCCACTGTGGAGGAGAAGGCTAGGGTGGGTCTCCCCCGGGACACCTTCCCCATCTGAACCT